TTTTTCAAGCTGCTTGTGCCACTATTAATACATTCTTGACTTGCACTGATGCACAGTACGGCACCGAAGGGGGTGTCTCACCTGTTCTCGTCCGGTCGAATACACCGTTCGAGTGCCTTCCATACCAAGACTTTCGAGATTGCGAACTTGGTCACCATGATGCCGGTCCACACAACTCCGCTCACGATGAGTACCATGGTTATTCTCGAGTCCGTTCGAAATCAAGCTATCTAGGAGAGAGAGCTGAATTGAAGGTGTTGACATTGAAAGTGAACTGGACAAGAGAAGCAACAGCAGTGAGTTCACACGGCTGGATCTTGGTTCGTGATGACGCAGTCGAACCGACCAGTGTTCGGCAGACAAGGACCGACCAAATCCTTTTTGTTGAACCAAGCTCGGAACTGTCAGATAACGATCCTGGTTTACGCGAGTAACGATACTCAGCGCTGCTGTAGAGTAGACGATCTACTGCTGGGGTTGGTTGCGTACCCCCTGTCATTCCTGTAGTATGCCTACGGTACAATCGTCTAGCACACCTATCTCGGGGATAATTCCGAGCACCAAGTGTGTTGTCTGTTGCAGATGGTTTCAGCGACGTTGTGCAGCCAGGGAAATAAAACCAACACGAAAATATTATACGTACCGAAATCCAACTTCTTCTTCTATTTTGGTTCCTTTTTCCGGTCAACATGGTGCTAAAGGGTAGACGAGGCGACTAGCCTGAACGGTTACGGCCAATAAGCCGTCAATGGGCCGCCCATGGGCCAGCCAACATTACTGACAATCTGTGGGCCGTCCAAATGACATCGTAGAAGTGACAATACGCACGCAAACCCCGAACGACGTTGCTTGGCTACCTTTGGGCGGCGCGTGGTTGGCCTATGACGACTCATGTCCCGCTCATGGGCGACCCATGAACATCACGTGATGCCCAATTGGAGTCCCATGGACGCCCTTGATGGCTCGTGACAGCCCATGGGTGGCCCTGGGATGTCCCATGGGCTCACGTAGTCGGATGGCCTAAGGACAGCCATTGCGTGGCCACGGGCAGTCGAAGACCCATTGGTTAGCCGTTTACGACCTATGACCACCCGTGACGACTCATGAAGGTGATGGCAGTCGTTTGGTGGACAATGACCAATTGGTCTCGTGGGCAATAGCATGGTCGGAATGTGCTCCCGATGGATCGTGGGTCAGGTCTTATGAATATGCCGTCCAATGAGCTCGATCACGAGGACGGCCGCAATATATGTAGCGCACATACCTGGAGCTCTTCACATGGGTTCGTGACGAAGCATGACCGCTTGTCCCTTCAGGTCAACACGCTGTGTGGCCAGCGGGAAAAGGAAAAATACAGATCGCACCACTTGCACATCATGCCCAAGTATGTCGGGACAAACTCTCCGTCGGAGGTGAACCTAAGCGACAAAGAACGGAAGGAGACGGAGGCGAGGGAAGCAACTGTTCTTGATCAGGTTTGGTTGTTGCTGTTCGTGGTGATGTTATCATTGCTCCTGTTGTCGTTGTCACGTCGTAGATATTGGCCTTTGTGATTCTGGGCGTCATGCAGCTGTGCTTGAGACTCTCTACATAGAGAGATAGATGTAGATCCGTTAGCTTTAAGGTAAGTATGTTTTACGGCCCCACCGTTCCCCGTGCGGTACTGGCCCTGTTTTTTTTTGCGCGAGAAGGGTTCAGCCGTCCCATTCCCTTGTAATGTCGAAATGTGTGTGTTAATCGCGAAATTTGTCGTTTTCCACCGCAACTTGCAGGAAAGCCTCCTCCAGAAAGATAATCTAACCATACTGCTACGCAGATTTAGGGAAATCACCATTAGACCACCGGGGCGACCGGACGCCGATGCATCTGTTTTTTTTTGTCCTGACACAAACGAATTCGGCGTCCAGGCTCTGACTGTTAGATATACAACACAGCTGATCGGAGCCTGACTGTTTAGCTCAGTGGATACATACGTTGTACACCTAACAAAGTACAACCAGGGTCCGATCAGCTGTTAGACTGTCTGCGTCTGGTTTTCCCCCAGGGTTGTAATCCCTGTAATCAGCGCTGCCCCAAGCGGTTCATCGGCTTACAGGCAGGGATATGTGTCTTCATCGTTGACGACTGGTGATGTGTACCATGACTTTCAAGTGAGTATCCCAGACTTTTTTCTCGTTCCTACAAAAAGGCGTCAAGATGGCTCCCAGATAGATTCGATCCCTGGTTGTAATGTTGTTTAATGTAAAACACATCCACCGAGGTAAACAGTCTGCGCTGGCTGTTTGGCTTAGTGGATATGTTATATATCTAACACTGACAAGCGAGTGCATTTGTCACAACGTTATCACCTACCTCTGTGCGCAGGATCCCTAAATGAAGCCGTCGAATCGAGGTTGCCTTGACGGTGCCTACAATACCATTCTAGCAATGATAAGGGCCGACAATTACGCCCGCTACAAGGACTTTATCGTTGCGCAACGTCATCTCAGAGTTGCCCGGCTGGAGGCCATTTGGTGCATGTAGGTGTGTTGGGGGAAAATCGGTGTACGTTTTCTTTGCATTCCCAAGCCTCAGGCTCTTCCAGCGATCTCTTCCTTGTCACTATTGGTTGCATTAAATACCGTAAGAGGCGGAGAGATGGCACCTCCCCTAGAGCGAAGCTCGATTGCTCCATAACCACGCTTCTTGTGCCAGCACCAAGAAGAATGCATGCACGTTTCGGAAAGATCTCGTCGAGGGCTTTCCGTCGACAAACGGGGCTCTCTTCGAACCCACATAGTTTTGGAGCAATCGAGGTTTGAAAATCGGTCTAGGGAGGGTGCCATGTCTCCGCCTCTTGCTGTACCACACACACATGTTAGTTTATGAAACACCATCCTCTTCGAAAGCTGTACAAGACCACACTCACTCATGCACTCTTATATTGAGCCCCAGACAATCTCAATTTTTCACGTGGTGACACAAGATACGTGACCCCCTAGCGTTTACAACATGCGTATTGGCCACGAAGCTTCCCGTTCCGCACGCAAGCTGAACACACGGTGCAACAACATGTGATCACAAGAAAGCACACAAGCTTAATCAACCTGAGCGCCACCGGAGTGGACGCCAAAAATACCGTGGAAGGGGACGCCGTCAACGACGCTACTGAAAGCCCCCCCACGGCTCAGACTATTTTCAATATGGATGGGTCAGACTCCAGGGCGACCCAAGGCTCCATAACGTAGTAGTTTTCAAACATTTTCTCAGTTACAGTGTTTTTGGCGGACATGTTTTTGGCGGCAAGGCCATATGGCAGGACCATCGTATGTGTTTTGGCCGTAGGCGGCAAATCAATTGTTGGCGGTCATGATTTTGACGGAGGCGGTAGAACAACAAACGGGGGTGAATTTCCGGCGGCACCACCATACGGCGGAAATGCCTGGGTGGTAAAATAGGCGGTCGGTAGTCGGGGTTTTGGGCTGTACCGCCTTTGGTGGAGGTGAAAAATCAAACATCTGGCGGAAAATCGGCGGCAATGCACGCCATATGGTCGAAAACTCAGGCGGTAGCAAACAACGCGGCGATTGCGGTGCACCTACGATGCCCAAACGAAACGGAATCTCTTCTCCGACAGTAATTCCTGTACACACCCGTTCTTCGAACGGTTGTTTGTCGCGTTTGTACCTGTGCTGTACACGTTTCGGTGTGAAAGCTGGGGGACAAACGAAACAATGGTCAAATTGATTCGCGCCTAAATTATCGTGTGCATCAACGGAACATGGCCTTTAGCAATTCACCCTACAGGTTACTTTCCTGTTAGCGATTAGATACGTACACGGCGGTAGTTGTTAGGCGGTAATGTCACATGGCGGTAATCTTTGGCGTGATGGTAGTTGTGATGGCCGTAGGCGGTATTGCGCTTTTCGAGGGGAATGGCTGGTTTGGCGGAGGCGGTTGTTGTTGTTGCATTCACACAAAAAAAAGGCCTCTGCTTACAGTAGTACCTTGCAATGTCCGTACTATCCAAATGATGCGGACGCCTTACGTGTTCACAAGCCAACTACGGGTACATCTGTCTAGAAAATAATAATGAACCCCAGAAGAGTCCTCCGGTAAAACAAAATATCAGCGGTAAACGGGCAGTGCCCGTCCGCCAGGCACGACGGTATGTTCACGGTGGGAGGCAAAACCGCCGAGTTTTCAACCCGCCGCGGGGGAATGTGTGGTCCCGGTGACCAATTGTGCATGTATGCCATATTCGAGTGATTCACAGCTGCGATTCGAGCCAGAATAGAACGCCATTCCTCTATCGTCCTGTGTGTTACTATGAACGGCCGATCGTCTTTTTTCTGGTAGCGTAGGTTTATTTATTGCTGGCATTTGCTTGTGTCCTGCATAGTCCCACCGTTCAGAATGAACGCAAGGCTGACAATGCGTGGTGTGATAGCCTTTCATTTTTCCAAGGTACTATTGCACTGCCGTGTTCGAACACATATACCGCACACCCGCTTTGTAAAGTACCCACGCGTTCGTTCGAGTTTGTATTATATGCGAGGCATCCCAAAGGGAATATTGTGAGAATACGGGAAGCACGCGATGAAGCGGCGCGTATCGCCTTGGCTTTCATTCCCGCGTATGCCCATATTTTTCTAACCCAATCAACAAATTCTGTGTGTGGGTTCCTCCTTTCAGCGCACTTTGTCACACGTGCGACCTTTTTCGCTCCCGTTTTGTCACGAAGCCTTGCTGCCACACAACCTTCATAGTCGAAACATCTGGGCTCGTCCTGGTCTAAGCGCTTCTTCACACACGGTCGACGCCGAAATCATTGTCACGCTCCCCTGTTTTCACCCCCCCCCTGCCTGATTTCTCATTGCGGTAACCATAATGGAAGTCGAGTAGATCGTGTTGCGTGGGGTGGAGAAGCCTCACTCCGCGCAAGCGGGTTGATCGCACCACGTTGTGTTAGATTGAAAAAGCACCCTCGAGGCAGCTACACAGTGCTTACAACTGTCTCTGGAAGTGAAGTCACCAGAAAATAAATTTTTATGTGTCATCCGTACAAAAAGAAGTAAGCACAAGATGGCGAACACCCTTGGCAGGATGCAGCGCACCCTTCATGCGACTCGCCGAATACCTCATGGTGCTTCGAGCTCGGTGATGTGAGAGCCTGGTCCGGTGAGAACCCGGCGTGCTCCGCCCCGGCTATGTAGGGATGCGAGGTCAATGGTCTGTCATGCACGACAATGAATTCACGCTGCCGCTGTTGGAGGAGGTGCCCTGTGAGTGCACTGCCTTTCGTGGGAGACAATGCCACTTCACTTCGTGAGCTCGGCAACCAGGTTGTCGGTTTTTTTTCCCTCTGTTTTAGCGATAACCATTATGGTGGTCGAGTAGATCATGTTGTGCGGGGTCGAGAGTCCTCACTCCGCGCATGGGGGATGATCGCACCACGTTGTGATAAGTTGGTCAAACACCCTCGAGGCAGTTATACAGTGCTCACAATTATCTCTGGAAATGAAGCACCAGAAAATACGCAGCTGTCATCCGTATGCAAGGAATTAAGCACAAGATGCCGACCACCCTTAGCAGGATGCAGC